TTAATCGTCAACACCTAACGAAATGTTACGAACAGAACTGCTTATAATCAAATGTTTGAAGAAATCGCTTCCTATTCGAATTTTTGTGAAAACCTGAAGAAAAACATGATGATAGTGACAAACGATATTGTAAAAACCGCCTAGACAGAAGGACTTAAGATAAACAGCCTCTTTGTGCAAATTCAGACAAAAAAAGAATGAAGGGTGTCACTGTTTTTTTTTACAAGGATTCAGAATTTCACAACGTCTTTAAAGATGTGCTTCCAAAAAACTACTTTTTATAGTGAATACTGTCTGGTTCGTTTCCAAGTAGGGGTTCGTATGTTTCGTATGATCTATATTGCATAATTAGTGATTATAACGTCATCCAGCTTACATCTGAGTCCGCTAAATCGCGTACCCTACCTTTCCATCCCCCCTGACATTACTAGAGTTAAACCAAAACAATAAACGTAACTTTTGGAATTACGGCGTACCTTCATTGATATCTCTAAGGTTTTAGAACCACACATGAGCAGCCTCTTTGGTGTGACTTGCTTCTCGATTTTTTCAAGTGGTCCCTCTTTTATCGTATCCATCAATTTCTTTACCGCATTGTCCTCTTCCTCTATTTCTCTCCTTTCTATAGTATATAAACAGTTAGGTAGCAGAACATTTTCTAGCGACTTAATGAGTGAGATAGCTAAATTGGTAGCATATACAGTGAATGGTTTGACCCCAGGAGTCATTTCGTAAGTAGGTGGAATATGATTGTCCGGGTGAGTGTAGTCCTTAATGGGACTGTTGTTGATAGTGACTGACGTTTCGACAACCGGTACGGTAATCATCTTCAGAGTCAATCTTTAGAAAGCTAGTTTATTTACTTAGAACAAGTTATTAATAGCTATCGCTAAGTGCCAACGAGCAAATATTTTACCTATACGCGCGCGCTGTTCAATTTGTTTAGAATTGTCATGAATTACCTTAATTTACCAGAATGCAGGCTACAGGTTAGTCATGTGTCTGTCATTTTCCGTCAAAAACATACCTTTTTCTGACCTCCGTCGATAAAAAAAAAACACAAAGAGGATGAACGGGGATCAACGAACGGCCTAAAATTACGAATGGATTCATCTGCATGCAACATACGCATATAGCTGTCGCATTTGCTCGCTGGAATTTTTTATTGTTTTTAAGCCTAGTCCCCTAAACCTTGCTGAAAATAACATTCACTTTTTGCCAGGGTTTCAGTTTTACGACATTAATTGGAACCCCGAAGGGATCTTTGATCCAGGGTTGGGCATAGTGATTTTATCTTTTTAAGGACAAAAGGAAACCTTCAATACAAGTACCCTGTATAGGACAATAATATCTGTTTAAGAATCCTGTAAAGGGCACTGGAGATAATAAACGTTTTGTTTATTGACTTAAACTAGTCCAGTAAGCCTAAATTAAACATCTTAAAAGTAAGTAGGGTAGTTAAGATAGCCTCGGGTTTTTACGCTGTAGTATAAAGGGATTTACTTACCATGTGAAGAGTTTTTATCTTCTAACTCTACATCCTGTCCCACGCCCAAATCTGTAGAAACGCAAAGATAACAGTTGCTATCAAAATATTTTCTTGAATAGCTATTCAATCAGAAAAGTCATGGGCAGAATAAACCTCATACAGATTTTAGGACGTAAAAAGCTGCAATTAGCCACTGATTAGCTTGGGGCCGAGGCTCATGTACTGTTCAGGGAAATGACTATTTTGCGACATTGTATATTATATCCATAGTTTTTATGTTTATTTGCAAATAATATATGAGTACACAGTAATTTTGAAGGAGTTATAATAACTCCTCTAGTGGGGTTAATTGAACTCTTTACAGTGGAGTTATTTTTTGGGGAGTTATTTTAACTCCAAAAAGGAGTTTAAAGAACTCTTTTTCAGGAGTAAAAATGACCCCAGATATTAAGGAGTTAAGATAACCCCAAAAAAGGAGTTATCCTGTACCTAAAATCTTTACTCCACTTTCAGAGTTAAAGTAACTCCAAAAAGAGTAAAAACAACCCAGTAAGGAGTAAAAATAACCCCATTTTCGGAGTTATTTTAACTCTTTTTCAGGAGCAAAAATGACCCCAAATTTGGAGTTAACTTAGGAGTTAAAGTAACCCCAAAAAAGGGGTTATCCTATACCTAACATTTTTACTCTATTTTTGGAGTTATAATAGCTCCCTAAAAATTACAGTGTATTATTCCATGACCGCGAGAAAAAGCTCCCATATTAACAGTTTCCTTGTCTTTTTTACAACATATCGTCCACTAAATTTATCAATGCCTGATGCTTATCTTAGGAAACAGTTAATTACGCCTCTAAACTTTGTTGAATATAAGATTTGGCTATCTACAATCTAATGTTTTACGCGCGCACGTTTGTTAAAATAGATTTTAATTGTCTTTGAGGATAGTCCCTCGCATGAGCTTCGACATCCTCCAAGACCTGTAGGCGGCTTATTGGTCGGAATATTCTCAAGCCACGGTCATTCAAAGTCGTTGAAAATGAGTAATAAATCCAACTCCTTCGAAAGTGATCTACTGTATTTCCAAAAAGGACCCGTTCTGTACAATAGCTGATTACATCTGAATATATCGCCTGAGCATGCAAACCTAAAATACATCTGTAACATCTATTCATTTCTTCCGTTCACGATAAGAACCGACAACTTTGATTGACTTGATAAATCATTCCGTTTACTATAATAACATCTAACCTATTAAGCGTAAAAGCGATTTATCTCTAATCCGATCAAAAAATGGTTAACGTGACAGCTCCAAGTAACGCGATGGCAAAGTAATAAAAACAAAACAAAAACAATGTCACACTATTTGAGAAAAATATCGACACTCCCCCCATGAGCACTTGTTCTAGTGGCTCAAGGAAAAGGTTCAACAGTTCAGTTCTTAGCCTAACAAGTGGTCAATAAGCTTGATTTTCTCCTCTGCAACAACTGTTGCGGTTCGACGAGGTCTTGTCTGTGTAGCTGAAACTCCTTCATTCACCCCGCAAAGTTGATCATCCGTGATACTATTTTGAATAGTTGATTTTGTGTTGGTAGCATGAACTTCGAGAGGAAACAACTCTTGAAGGGGTCTCTCGATAAGAGTCTTCTTTCCTGCAACTAACACTCGTGCTCCGCGAACTTTTCCATCTCTTCCTTTGATCAAATATGTAATTCTCGCAAGCTTACAGAACGCTGTATGTGAGGTTCCCTGGTCGTGCAAGATAACAACATCAATTCTCACAGGAGGTAAAGTGACATTCTTGCCCTTGGGACAGTGAAATTCTCTCAGCTCGAAGAGATATTCTCGTTGCCACCTTCTTCTAAAGTGCTAGATTCGATCTGCAAGATAACGGGAACGTTTGGTAGCAGTTAGATAATCTCCAAAGTCCCAATCATCAATCTGAAGAGGACCCACAGGTAGAGTTAGAAGTTTTCGCCCAGTGACTAAATGCGATGGCATTAGAGGCTCTTCAACATCGTCAGAATAGAGGTACGTGATAGGTCTTGAATTCAGAACTGCTTCAACTTCGACAAGAATAGTTGTGAGTTATCAAATGAAAGCTTCGATCTTCCGAGTGTTTTCTTCAGACAGGATTTCACTTGTTTCACTAAGCGCTCAAAAAATCCACCCCACCATGGCGCCTTCGCCAAGTTGAACTGCCATTTTATCCCCTTGCTAGACAAGTGCTCTTGTACGTCTTCCAGTTCAAACAGACTAACTAAGGTCTTCTCTGAGGCCTGAAAGGTTTTCGTGTTGTCTGAAACAGTTAGTTTTGGGAGACCACGGCGTCCAATGAATCTTCTAAGACAGAGCAAAAACGTTGGGGTTTCTAGACTTGGGACCACTTCCAAATGAACTGCTCGACTTGTGGCACAGGTGAACAGAGCAATGTACACCTTTGTCATCTCTGGGTCATCCTTCACTTTTGATTTTACCAACAAAGGACCCGCGAAGTCAACTCCTACAAGGCTGAAAGCGTGCACATCCCTGACTACTCGAAATTCTGGTAAATTGGGCGATTCTGGAACTGCATAGCTCCGGCCTTCTTCGACATATATTACATCCGAACAGTTCCTTCTTCACAGATTGTCTCCCCTTTGGGATCCACTACTTAGAACGAACTTCTGTGAAAGTTTCCTTTAAACCATTGTACATGACACGTTCGCGACAATAGCGAATGATCAATGACGTGACATGGTGATTCCGTGACAAAAGCGCCGGAAATTTTGTGTCATATGATGCTTTGATGTTACTAAGTTGTCCTTTCCAAAGAATTATGCCTTTCTCGTCCTTGAACAGTTCAAGTTGCTTCTCGAGTTCATCTACTTGCAAATGCCCTTGCAACTCCTTTATCCACAAGATTTCGGCTTCCTGTACTTCATTAGTACTCAGAGGTCCAGTAATCCTTTCTTTCCAGCTGATATTGTGAACAACCGTTTGACATAGGCGGTGACCCTAAGTAGTCGCTGAAGACTGCTGGATCTAATGCAATCGATGATAGCAGCCGCGGATGATTCTATCGCTGTCAGATTTGTTGAAGTAGAGGATTTAACTTCCTGGAGACATTCTGCTGGTGGTTCGGTTTCGGTCTTGTATAAAGGCCACCTATCCTCTCTTGTTTGCAACCACTCAGGACCACCAAACCATACAGGACTCTCACTCAGCTTTGATGCGGTGTGCCTCTTGAAGGGAATGAATCAATGATGAGGGAGGTATGCAAGACCTGATTTGCTTTACTCGGGTTTCCACGAACGTCTTCCACTCCTTGTTCGTCCCGATGATCCTATGAAGCGCAGTTGTGGAATCAGTCCAGCAGTAGATCTTTTCAGTTGCTACAAGTGGTTTGAGGGCCTCCTCAACTGTAGTGATTAATCTGGACAAGATCAGAGCAGATAACAATTCCAGGCGCGGAATCGTGAGCTGACATAGCAGGGCCACTCTTGTTTTCGACGCAACAAATGCTGTTTGGATACTTGCACTACTCGTTGCTCTCAAATAGACCACTACGGCGTAGCCTGATAGTGAGCTGTCACAGAATCCGTGCAGTTGATAACTGACTGGATTTTGTTGATCCCCGTGACTATAACACCTTAGAATTTTCACGTGCTCAATCCTTGTGAGTTCATTGCACCAACTAGCCCAGTCTTCCTTTATTCCAGTCGGTAGCGGGTCATCCCAGTTGATTTTCTGTTTGCAGAGCTCTTCAAACAGTACCTTCATCTGCAATGTAACTGGCGAGATAACTCCCAGTGGATCAAATATCTTTGCCACGACCTTTAAGATGCTTCGTTCCGTTGGTGGCAAGTCGCGGGCCAACTGTGCTAAGGGTTTGAGTGGTAGTCTTCAAGGTAATTTCAATTATCTCCAAGAACCTTCTGTTCGCACTGAGAATATGCTGCATTTTCCATTCCAGAGGTGGTTTTTGTATGTGTCATCTTCTTCTCGGAAACTACCCTTTGTTACCTGATGACTCGCCTCGTGTTCGGAGAGTTTGTCGCAATGTTGCATGAGGGGCCGTAGTTGCGGTGAATTCGACTGCCACTTCCGAATATTAAATCCTCTTTCTGCCATGATTTTCCTTGAATTAACGAACAGAACGAACCCCCTTCGACGGTCGACTCCCCAGACGTCATATCGTCTACATAAAGACTGTTTAACAAGGCCTTAACAAGGGTCTCCATTTGCGTATTTCTGGAGGTACTGTTTTATCGTGGCGTTCAGAAGAAATGGGTTTGACGTTACTCCAAAGACAACTCTGCAAAATCGGTAAACAACTGCCCTTGGATTATCCTTGTGGAT